TGTTGCTTTTGTAGAATTAGAAGACTTAAGAGAAAATTTCTTAATATGCATATACATGGTTAAGAATTGGCAGCTGGCAGACAGAAATTTTTTTGTCAGAAAAAGATCTTGGCGCATTTTTCAAACTTTTAGATAATTAACCTTATTTCTTAATTTTGAACAAATTTTTCAAATAGATTTTTTGAGAAAAAAAAAAAAAAAAATTAATTTTTAAATGTTTTTAACTTAGAAACATCTTTAACTAAGTCTAGCCAATATTTATTAGACTGTTACTTTGCGTTAAGCTAGCACACATATATCAACCACACATATACCTTGAAACAAATTAGCAAAGAATTGCTGAAATAGCACATATGCTTGATCTAGCTATCAGCGCGGAGAACGTAGAATAATTAGAGGATCACCAAGAAGAAGAACTGATTGATGACCTATAAGTTATTTTATTCTTCCTTTCAGCATGCCTTCGTGGTGTAACGGCTCGTATTCGCGCGTACCACTCGTCGCGTATTCGAGAGGTCCAGGTTCGAGTCCCGGCGCGGGCATTGCTTATTTTTCATGTCTTCTCCTTCAAAAATACCTACTGATTCTACAGACCATAGGATTAATTTTCAAAAGGATATAATTGTAGGAGAATAAGAGAATAACGAGGAATATAACCAAAGAAATCTCAAAACAATTTACTACAAAATATCATCCAAAATATTTTCTAATTTAAATCGAGGATTCAGCTTCTAGAAAGAATGATTCAGGACTTTGATAATTTTTTCTGAAAAGCAGAAGAGCAGATTTGAAAATCCGAACGTTATCAAGAAATATGCAAGGGGGATACCACCTTAACGAATTTTCTAATTAAATGAACTACTCCAGCTTGCAGTGAATCATCCAGATAGTAACAAACACTCGTCTATTATTTTTAATTAAAGACATCATTTATATATTTTGATTCCTGTTAACTAGTTTGTAGAGTCATTAGGTTTTTTTGAAGCAGAAGAAGTGAAAAATTCGCAATGCCCTCGCCGGAACTCTGGACCTCTCGAATACGCGCCGAGTGTGCTACTGTTACACCACGAAGGCAAGCGGAAAGGAGGGATAAAATATATTAATACATATATATATTGGATATACGACTGGGAATTAGGGGACCCAGTTGCCAAATCCTGGTGGTGACGAATTACCATCCACTACCTTTGGGTTCGGGCGCCACTGTAGAGTCATTAATTTTTTTGGGGGGGGAAGCAGAAGAGGTGAAAAATGTTCAGTGCCCTCGCCCGGGACTCTAACCCTAGAAGATCTCTCGAATACGCACCGAGTGTGCTACTGTTACACCACGAAGGCATGCTGGAAGGAAGGAGAAAATACCTTTTAAGTTTAAAGGAAGAGTATATATATATACTATAGTATGCAAATGAATTGGCCCAAAGCGACTTTTTTGATAATTTACGTACATAACTTCATATACAGTGATAATGATAAAATTAATAGGAAATATTTCCTTCTTTAGCAGACATGAACTCTAGAATATACTTAGGCATAGACTCTATAGTCTTGCGCATGTATATTTTACTTCTTTATCATGGAACCACACTTCTATAGGATTATTAATCACGCGCTCTTTTGTCATACAATCCATTTATGTAAGATGTTCCTTGAGAATGCGCTACAAGTTTTCGATCGGATTTAAATCTGGTAAATTTCGAGGCCAACCTAGCGCAATAATTTTATTTTCTAACATGAAACTTCTGTCAGTTTTTTAAATGTAGCACACAAGTCATGTTGAAATGTCTCTGTAAAAAATTTTAAAAAATGGCACAGTCTTACGTTTTAGAATTTCTATATACTTCGAAAAATTTCTCATGCCATCAACAGGCACTAGGCTTCTGCGGTGCCATCTGCAGTGAAAAAAAAAAAAAAAAAAAAACCCAAAATATTTCTTTTTAAGGGTATTTTATGGTTTGTAGGATATGCTGAGGTCTTATTAATTCACTCTTGCTTTGTCTAACATTTCATTTGTAACCATGAACAAAAAAATGAGTCTCATCGCTGAAAATAACCTTGTAATTTAAGGCCAAACATTTGTATTTTTGGCCAACAATTATCTTTTCCTTCATTTGACGTGCCAATAGCTGTTTTTGTAATTATCGTTTCGGCCTTCCAGCCAACAGTGAGAAGTCTATGCAGCACATTTGACAGATAAATATCGATACCGACAGACAAGAGAGCTCTTTTAATGACTTTGCTAGCTTTTGTTGGATACTAATACTGCTTTAGAGTGGGAATGGAGCAGATTTTGGAGTAGTTTTCCTTTTCCTTTCAAATTTGCCCTTCCTTTCTGAAAACAATGATCCAGTTTCATTGTGTCTCTTCAGAAGTGCTCGATTTTCCTACACAAACAGCTGAAGCAATATTTCTTACAGTTCAGGATGTATGACTATTAACTGCGATAATCTTTGCTCTCTTTCTAGGCATTATATCCATTTTTAATACATTCAGATGAACGAATGAAAAACAAATTTAAAAAGTATGCAAAAGTAACTTCCTTCACAGAAACAAGCTTAAAAATGGTTTTGTCTAAACCATTTCTAAGTTGGAATTAAGAGATCCAGACGACAATAAGGCAAATAAAATTGTTCTAAGAGACCTGCTGGCAACCAAATTAAAATTCTGTGAAGGAAACGCTTTGTCCCAATAAATTTACAAACTAAAGTATATTAATTTTATAAAATACGCTTTAAGATATTAGGCTTTTCAAAGCAGGAAACGTGAAGTATCAGCTATGTACTAGCGATAGTCGAACTACCTTCTTCCTATCTCTAATCGCGTGCGTTATCAGCTATACCGTGAAAGCACGCATCAGGAATGTTATGGCTTCTTATATGAGTAATATGTATGTAGCGCATATGTATGTAGATGCAAATAAATTGTTTGCAAATGCTGCGTAATTTTATGCATTTTCACACATTTTATATTAAATGATTATTAACACATTTTATATTATATATTTAAGATTAATTTCTAAAATATTACCGAAACTTTCAAGAATAAAAGAAATCGTCTGCTTAACGTCATATTTACAGTGAGAATGAGAGGATATGAAACGGCATTCGTCGTAAGTCGAAAACCCCCGACATGGTAGCATTCTTTTTGAGAAAGGTATTTGAACTTGCAGTTGGACAGCCATGGCTTTCGGTATTTGGCCATAGCGAGTAGAAATAACTAGGACGTTATGCCGTGGCGGATAGAGAAATAGTCCCTATGAGTATACAAAGAATTGTGATTAAATGTTAAACTAGGAAAAGCATCATAACGCAATACTCGAAAATATTGTAATAAATATATATTGTGATGAAGTTTATAATATTATATATATATATATACATATATTGTGATGCTTAGCTATACTTCAGTGCTTTAATGATAAAGACTCTACAAGAGAGTACTATTCCAATACTCGACAAAGCACATTCTCACAAGTTATCTACTGCGGTAACAGATGTACACTTTGCATACCCATCGGCTGACAGTTAACAGAAACTATTACGTAAACGTCTTGAAACCATTTGCATGAAGCCATAATGAAGAAAAGATCACATTTCTTCAAAGTAACGCCCCGCTGCATATTGCTGCTGCACTGCCTGAAGTCGATTTGTCAAAACACTAGAATACTCTGCATATAGCTTATACTTAGAGACTTGTTTTCGGGTGTTCTTAACATTAAAAAGACAATTAAGATACAATAACACGCCGATGAAACAGATGGCGCCAGTTGCTTAACTCCTGTCCGGTCTTTCTTATATCTTATCTTATCTAACCACTGTATACTCTCTCGTTCATTTGCGCTTTTGTAGCTGAGGATGATGGTTCATTAAAACCATTGAAACTAAAACCTACGAAAATTTGAAAAATATAACGCTGATTTTTGCTGTTCTGTTCAAAAGAGAAAGTAAAAAACACTCGACCATAGTGGTACAAAGGATACCGGGGAACAGTCTATTTCGTATTTTTGAATCATGGATAAAAACTCTGTAAAAAATGTAATTCGATGGGAAGGACTCCCTTTCAAGGAAGAAGGGGGAAATCTGGAGAAAGGAAGGACGCCTTTATGGACTATTTTCATATTCACATTACACTTGAGGAAAACTAACACGAAACTAGCCATTCACGATGAATCAAACAATGACCAGGATTCAGCGATTTTATCCAAACTGACCCATACTGGGCCTTGTCAAATATACATATATATAAATCAAAATCTTGATAATCGAACGACAAAGAAAATGCCGTATTAAATATTTGAAGGTTCAACCTATTTTCTCCGGGAAACAAAATAAACAGCGATATAATGTTGTAGTTTTGGCAGATGAAACCAACTGCGTAGCAGTCGTGGTGGGGACGGCAGCAACTTCCAGCTAACGCAGATAGCTGGAAGTTGCTGCTTTGTAGATAACTGGAGGAAAAATCACACCTGGTTTGATGGTTAAAACACCATTTTAATTTTTGGACGACGAATTTCTTAACATGTATTTTCTTAATTGATACAGTAGCAGGGTGAAAAACGCGCCCCTCAAGTTGATATTACAGAGCTACATTTTAAAACTAAGGAAGATACTGCTAAACTAAGGAAAATTTTAAAACTAAGGAAGCTGCGAACCAGATTTTGGGTTAATTAGCAAGCATAGAAAGAACGTGTGTAATTGGATTTCAGTGATATTTATAGAAAAATTTTCTTTAATCTTATTGGCTAAGAACTATACGCATTGCAGAAGGTTAGGATGACGTAAGGCGAATTAGTTTTTAGATACGACGCAGTTTCGAAAATGCTTCGACTATTTCTAGAGAGGGGAAAGCGCCCAAATTAAAATGTAGAGGTAAGGGGCTATATATTATTCATAGTCACATATTTTTACCTTGCATATATAATGCTTCAAACTAGCGGTTAATTCGCAAAGTATTAATTCATTTACGAGGCTTAAAATTTAGATTGAAGATCTTAGCTCACTCACCTGCAGGCGGCTTCTAAGTAACACTGTTCCAGGTGAGGGGGATCTTGAACGATGTAACGCAATTCGCCTTTTACGTTGTACATGTGGTACGGTGTACGTAGAAGATACTGGTTACCATGACAGCGGTCGAAGATCGGCGACGACTTCCTGCAAGATTAAAAATTGAAGTTTATTTCGCCATACTTTGCTGCATTAAAAGCGAAGAGTTGAGTTAATATTTCAGATGAGAATAGATATATTATTAACATGCACGTGTGCTGGTTTACAAATGAAATTACTATATACAGTCGTAAGATTTATTTTATTTTTTTTTAACCAATTCTTTTAGAATAGGAAAGTAATTTTCCTATTCGTCTCCAAATTACACAGACTACGTCTTCAACAAAAAAATAATGAGAATACATCATATAAGTTGAGAAATAGTACTGCCAAAGAACGTATTCTTTGGTACTACGAAAAGAAAACGTCCGTTATGGCTATAATCCGAACATTATTTGGCTAATATTTAAACAATTTATGCTTCCTTTCCTGGGAATATCTGAAGAGCGAAGCTGGATTTGTGAAGATTACCTATTGTTAAAGCCAAAAGTTTAATCTAACTTAAAGTTTAATCTAATCTGTAACGTAAATTTGTTTAGTGCGAAATGGAGAGTTTCAAAATTGTTTTTAATTTTGTAGGAAACACATTAGGTAATTTCTTATTCCTCATTTTCGAAGCTTAGTTTGTAGGATACATTTTGTGTTAATAAACCAGATTTTATGATTTGGATCTTTTACAGAACATCCTTCCTCCTTCCTTAGCCCTCACCGGGATGCAATGTGAGGGTTTTGATTGTTTTAGATATAAAACTTTTAGCAGAGACGCTTGCAGGTGTTTTTTCTCTGGCTCAGCTCTGCCAGTTAGTATTCTGGCATTAGCCATATTACCAACCGAAATTAAGTCGCGCCCTTACACGTTTTGAACCAACGCTTGGTTAGGCAAATTTATGTAGTCCCAGGCTACTAATCCCTTTTATTTTCAATTTTTCTTTAACATAACACTCACAAATAGAGGAGTTTGATTGTACGCGCAATTTGTGCCTTCTCTAAGTTCAAGTTCTAATGAAAAGGTTGATTTAAAACCGTCGCAGCATTTTGTAGTACTTTTAAAAGACGGAGAGATAACTCGCTTTGCAGTCTAGTTGGTGTCTGAATAACTTTTCAGTATTACAGAAGCCAAGTTATTCAGCACTTTTAGTCATTGCCAGTCTTGATACACTTCTTCAGGTGATGAAGCCACTTTACGTAACACTCCATAAAATTATCTTTCTTGAGTTATTTATCTGTTCATAAAGTGTCTTAATTAGATATCTCTGTCTTTGTAACTTTCTCCAACTCTCGGGATCCTTGGTTTTCCTGCTTCACAAATGCCTTCATTGTTTAATAATCATATAGCCAATTTCAAAGGATATCCAAAATAACCGAACAGAAAGCTAGGTCAAAAGCCAAATGTCTTCTACAAAAATTCTGCGTAGTTTCTGACCACAAGTTCATTTTACGGGGAAATGGTAAAAAAGTAGAAGAAACTAACGGCTGGAAAATAAATTGGAAGAAGAACTGAAGATTTAACTTGCCAGTATCAGTTAGCTCAGTTTCCTCTAACATGAGGAAAATAATAGTTAACTTGGTGAATAAGAGATAAGGAAGTGGCAGTTTTCCCTTGAAAGACTTAGAACTGGATTGAAAGTAATCAAATTTCAGAACACTTTGTAAGGAACAGAAAAGTGATTGCATTTTTAATCAGGAAAGTGATTGCATTTTTAATTTCAGGAATTAATGAAATTATACGAACTTTTTGCTCAGAATATAGTATTTTTCTCATTGATCTTACTCATACATGCGAACAGCGAGGGGGCTCCAGAAAATGAAGTAGGAAAGACTCTACAAGTCAGATTATTGCGGTCACAAAAAGTATGGCTGGCAATTTTTATTTATGAGATATTGCCAAATCAAAAGGATAGAGTGAATCTCGAAAGAAAGCTGCTGAGATTTCAAAGGGCAGGATCATCTTTGTCTGTTAGGAATATATGAGAAATTCTTCAGAAGATGGATTCGTCTTTTGACGAAATGCATCGAGATTAGTGGCAATAATATTGAAACGTATTGAGCAGCTTTACATTCAAAAAGAAAAAATAATTTCCTATTTTAATTATTTTTGTAAAAACAAATGAATCTTCGGCCTGTATGTGACCTGTAAAAAAAAATGGATCTGTATTTAGGTGACAGAAGATTTTATTTTTTTAGATATTGTAGGCATATAGCAATTTATTAAGTTTCAATTTGTAAAACTTATTTAGAGTACAAGTGGCTGATATTTTTTGCCTCATTTTTTAAAATCCAAATTAATATTATCCTAAATTTAATTGCTTTCTTTTTGCTTGCTACTAAAAATCTGAGATTAAACTGTTTAATCAGAAGCGATAATTTGCTATAAGACTTTAATGAAAGATTTGTAAGTAGAAATAAAGAGGTCCTTGTATCGTTGATTAGTATCAGAATTTGATGAAAATAAACTGAAGCAATATTTTGTGGACTAAATAATTGATTTTTATGTAACGCAGTTAATTATTAAAGTCAACTGTGAGTGGTTAATTAACTGAGTAGCTATGTTTTGTTCAGTATATCAATTACACAGGCAGTCATTATAATAGCATAAACATAAGAACATGAAACAAAGAATTGTAAAAAAAGCGCACTTACACTTTGGCTAGGAGTTGCAGCGTGCTGCAAGGGCTACCGGACCCACCGTCGCCACCACGAGGTAGAGACTGGACGTGATGTTGTAGTTCGTCACTAAAAGGAGAAACAAGCATTAACATATGAGCATCGATCGAAAAACAATGTTTATTTAACATCCTAGGAAAAGTCACTGAAAACTTTCTAAAATATTTAGATTTATTAAAACAACATAACCGTGAACTATATGATCCGAATTGCGGCTCCTGCATTTCGTACAGAATCTGCAGCCTGCAATCAATAAATGGATATCATGGACACTGAGCTCGATGTGAATCTAAAACGTTTTAGCTAGTGTAGTTGAGAATAATCCTAGACAACGACAGCTTTTAGTATGACTAGCTTGATTATTATTAGGGAAAAATATGCAAAACTTTTCCCGTTCTACCTGGCCTGAATTTCTACCCAGTCAGTGAATATGCGCTCATGAGTTTGTTTGTATCGCGTTGTCAGCCGTCAGTCAGTGACGTGTGTCTTGAACTTTCATTGAGAGATACTCCCACAATTTTTACTACTATACTTTATAAAACAGCACACAGCACTGTCTCTGATGATACGATTACTAGTATAGAATCTTATGTCATATAGCATTTGAAAAGAGCTATCAAACTTTTGTTACATTCACCATTTACCAGTGACTAAGCAATCTTAATATTAAGAGCTCCCGTGAATTCTGTAATATCTTAATGCATGACTTGAACACTCAGAATTTGTAAATGCCATCATCGTTCTACTGTGCATCCGAGCCCTGTTACTGGCGTCTGGGATATCGCTGGACTATAACACAAAAATAAGAATAGATCTAAGGGCTTTGCGACTGTCTGTTTTGTTTCTTTAGTGGAAGAGAAATCAGTTCTACATTTGGCATGTTAATAGTGGAACCGACTGCCAAAGCCTTGGGACGAGGTTTGAATCTCGGAGTAAACATGGATGCTTATAAATGTCTAGGGTCCTTGCAGCATAGAAGAACTTAAAAGTATCGTCGAAACGAAAGTCCCTTCGAAAGGCTGATGGTAGAGAAAAAGGGGTGAAAGATCTCCAGATCCGCCCGATGCATTCTCATCCAAAACTGAGACGGAGCTTCCCCTTCTTTGGGGGTATATTTCTATCGTCCCTTGTGGTGCAACCTGAGCATCATTCTCGGTGATGAGGGCGGAATGCATTTAGCCATTCCTAAGGAATGCTAATCTAACAAAGTGTCCGGCCGTTGGGAAAAAATAATCTAAAAGACATCACAAACAGTTTTTGCAATAATGAAAATGAATCTGTTGGACAGTTTCAGCTTGATATGATTTTAACAAAAGACCGTTTTTCATAGAAAAAATATAATCATATACATAATACCATTTCCAATCCCCCCTAAATACTTTTTCGAATCTAGGAAATGAAGGGGCAAATTATTTGGTTTTTGCTTTCCTTTATTGATTTCCTGACCACTGAAATGGCAACTAATTTTCAAGACACAGGTTAGAGATTTAACCATAAGCAGGTGTAGAAAATATTTGTTATCAGAACCTTTCTTTTAGTTGAAAATGCTTCCATTCGAAACATTGCCATGGCTTTTCGCCTTTATAAAGTTGAGACAATTGATAATGTAATATTTAATTCTTTTATAAACGTAGCTTTACTTTTTATAGCTTTACTTTTCACATTTGCTTTAAACAGTCTTAACACAGCACATTGTTTAAATTACATCTAATTTTTGTTTAAAAAAAATTAGGATGAATATATTGCCAGATCTTACAGGAAAAGATTAAATCTGAATAATATTTCACGAAATTTAACTTGAGAACGAAATTATTTAATTTATTACGTTTAGAATTGCATGAATTATTTAATATGCGCAAACGCATTATCATGATTAATATGCCGAGCACGTCGCTCTAAGAACATTGTTTCTGTCATAGTTGACGACATGAAAATTATAGAATTAGAGCAGGACAAAGTCAATTAGCCTCTGTTAATAATTATTTTTAAGAAAGATTGAATTGGATGAAAGTAAGAGTGAATGACTTACAATTTATCATCGAAGTCCTTGTATTTGGAAAAACAGCTGGAGTAATGGAGTCCAAAGCGAACCAAACACTCCTCCTTTTCATCGTAAGACATGTCACTGGGATGGGGCGCTTGGGGTCTTCTCCTGGGTCGACCGAAAGGGTAACCGTCCACGATGCCGTCTTCTTCTTCATGATACTGACCCCTGGGAGGGGGCCGTTGGTCGGCACAACCTCCTCGGACGGACGCCGCCCCTGTCAGAAGTGGGTGGTTTGATAAATAGGTGCTGGCTTCACTTTTAGGTTTAGGAGGATCAGGTTCGGAAACCTCTTGCAGAAAGCTGGTTCCCATCAGAAGGGACGACAGCAGAAGAACCTAGATGGGAAACGAATACATAGTTGAACATGATTCGAAATCAAAGCAGTACTTCACTCATTTTGGTGACTACTTAGGTCAAATTTTGAAGGCCCATAAGACTGGGTTTATTATCAAAATATTGATGCTGTAGAAAAATATTGATGCTGTCATCGTTTCTGTTGCAAGTAACTCAAATGTCTTCTTATTTTTATATATTTTTATTTATTTTTGTTATTTTATGTGACAGAGCTTTTGAAGAGTATCAAAATGTTAATTAGGTAATCACTGAATCAATTTCTGACATTTAGTAATTTGCCCCGAAATTGAACCTTCCACACTTTTTCAACTTGTGAAGTGTTACTAATATTTTAACTCGGGGAATATTGAATGGATGCCCGTCATAATTTTATATTCCAATATCAGCAGCTACAAAACTGTGAAATTTTAAATTCGCCTAATATTTAAGTTCTTTATTTTTAAAATACTATATGCAAGAATGAGTTTTAAATTTAGCAGATGATATTACAAAATCTGTTACGAAAAGTACTATAGTCCATCTTTTATATATTAGAATAACAAACATACAGCTGGTAGTAAATTCATTAGAAAAAAAAACCGGAATCCCTTGCATTAATAAATGCTAACACAATTTTAATTTTTATGATAATGTAAACTTTCGTCAAATGACTATTCCTTTCCCCTTCATTCAACAGCAGATATAAGTAAAACCTTAACTAATGTTGCCTTATAAATTGCCTTTTAAATAATCATCCTTATGCCTACCTCTCAATATACTGTTTTATAGAGTTTAAGTTGTTATTAATTTTTATAATTCACTAATTAATTGTTCTGAATTTGTCAGAAATCCAAAATTGTTATATATACTAAAAGTTCCCAATCTCCAACAATATAGTTACCCAATGGAGGCGGTACTGTTCCCTGAGCAGACATTGGAGCCTTCCAAAAGGGGTCGGTAGGGGGTCCAGAGGAAAAGGGGGCTTACGACAGTCAAAAGCGGCGGCAGTGGCGTACCTATCCATTTATGAAATTAATATAATAAAATACTTTGAATACACCTACTGTTTACATGAATAAACATTTTATCTAACATTCTAAAATTTTTGTTATTGTTATCGCGTAAATAAGCATTAAAAATTTCAATTAGATTTGAAGAGACATTAGGTTATTTTTGGAAGCAGGCAAGAGGAAAACTGAGCAATAACCTTCGCCGGGAATCGAACCACGGACCTCTGAAATACTGGTTCAGTGTGCTGACCACTACACCACGAAGGCACGCTAGGAAAGCGGGAGAAATACCTTATACATATACTTAATTCGGTTTAGTATTGTCTGTGACAAATCTTTGCAAGTCGGTAAGTAAAAACGCAATCATGCGTATTTTGACAAAATATGGGAGTTTGTAATGACTTGTTTACACTGCAAGGGCATCGCAAAGAAGAAAATGCATACAAATTTAAGTCTATAAAAGACAGGGATAACTCTGGAATGTCTAATTATTTTTGTTTGCATCTCCAGTAATGCATATTCGTGAGTAAAAGTGATAGAAGTTATTTATAGACATCATTTTTATAACTACCAATAAATCTGTTGAAAATTTAATTTATTTAAACCGTGGCAAATTTTGCATTTCAAAATGTCTGAATCTATGCAGAAATACCGCCAGTACAGTGTGGAATATCAAATGAAGCTTTATAGATTGCAAAAGCGTTTGACTAAAATGTATGCTGATGAAAAGGGCAAAGATTTATTCTGCTAAAGAATAGGGGAAAAATATTTTAAACAACCAACTATATGAAACCTTTTTGTTTCTAACAAGAAGTTTTTTAAACAAGAAGATGATGGACTAATAGCCTGATATGAAAATTACACAGTCAAGGCAATCACAACTGGTGAGGAATTAGTCTTGCTGGCAGTCAAAAAGACAACAAGAATTCTTCTTCATCATAAGACGCCATCAGAAAAGTTCCTCTGATTAATAATTCGGTGCAAAGAAGGACTAGTGAAACGGCTAAAGACACTGAAAAATCATTTCGCGATTACTTGCAAATTTTCACTTTAAATCTATGAATTAACTCCACCAAATAACGAAACTCGGATCGGTTCTTATCATACGTTCGATTCATAAAAACAGAATAAATTTGTCAACAGTTATTAGTTGCTAAAACTTTAGAAATCGATACAAAGAAAGAATCGATGTTTAACACCATGAGGAAGGTTTCTCAAGCGAAAGAAATTCCTCTTCGTAATATTTTACCACTAGCAGCTACGCTGCCAGCCTTCGTCTGACTTTTAAATGTACCAGAAAAATGCCTGAAGGGAATACTAAACGTTAAATTTAAAAACTGCGGAGCAGAATTTTACTCTGGAGAACAACTTCATTAAAAAAATAAAAAATTAAAGAGAATTCAAAATGTATTATATAACAAAATTACAATAAAATAAACAATAGCCCTTAATACAAATAAATAACCAACTTCCCGTTGCCTTCTCTCAACGAACGTCCAGTATTTTGCTCAAATGAAGTTAGACAAGAAAGGCTATTAGTATCGAAACAACAGTTTGCCTCGAATCACTATAAACGGCTGTATCGCTTTTCAAATTGTTACCACCAAATACCATCGCCCTATATTTAAATTTTAAAGAAATTAAATAATGAAGAAGCTACATGAACGTATGTATGTTTCTCGCATTGTGGAAAAACAACGGTACCTAAAGTCATCAAATTCTGAATAACATAGTCCTCACCCTGGGCACCTGGAAACCCGAATTTGTTTTATTGTCTATTTCATATTTTGTAAAACTTTAAAGAATTTTTTTATTAAAAAAACTCAACCAATTCAAAGCGAGTAGTGGCAACACTGTAGGGAATAACATATTCTTATCTCCAACTCACGAGACTGTCTATCGAAAATTCTAAAGATATGCTGTTTTTAAATATTTTTAGCACAAAGTGGCGTTAGCCCAAATGCTGTCAGGTGTCTATAAATAAAAAGTCCGTTTGGAGTAATATAAAATATGAAAGCGTTCAGAATTTTTTTTAATAAATTTACTTTTTTTTTTTAATTATTATTTTCTTAGGCCCAAAGGGGTGTTAGTCCAGAAGGGCTAACTATTCTCGAAACGTCATTTTGCGTCGAATTACTAAAAGCGTTGAATCGCTTTTCAGATTGTTGCCACCAAAATTATCGCTTTATTAAATAAACAAAGAAATTAAATAATGAAGAATCTGTGTGAATGCATGTATGTTAATGAATGTACTGTCAAAATGGATATTTCCGTTTATATATGGCACTCGGAATTTTTCGCGATGATAATACTTCTTTTACTTCGTACAAGGAAATAAAAAGGCAAGAATAAATGCTATTAGGAATAAAGAAACTATACTGTGAATGATATTATACAGCAATGTTACCAAGTAAAAACTTGAGATAAATTGATGATTTGTCCTAACAGTTTTTCTATCGTTCCTCAATAAATGTACTTAGCAGTCTACCAATGGCTGAGCAGTAAAGACGCTAATCAATGGTAGTTAATCCTGATTAATGGCTTGGCTGCATGCGCGTTTTCATAGTTTTCCTCACGTGCAACGGGCCCACCAGCGGCCGAGCGGAAACGTTGAACACTGGTAGTTCTGACCTGGTTTCGATTCCAGGTGAACGTGCTGGCTGTATCGGCGTTTTCTTTATTTGTGACGTGTATTACAGTCAGTTTCCTTTAGAAAGTCCTCCACGAAGACATCCCTCTTTTTAGGCAAATAGCCCTAGTGTGCTTTACTATAATCAACTGAACCAAATCAAACCAAACTCCATCTGTAACGTGGATACGAGGTAGTTTCAGTAAGAATATTCTTTTCGAAGTGATCTCGTTCAATACTTAATAGGATACTTAAGCAAATACCTAGTGTGCTTTACTTCCGTGTTTTGCACTAATCAAACAAACAAAATAAACTTCATATTTTTTCATAAATAAAATAAAACTATAAATTGATAAGTGAAATATTTTAAATATTCATACTGTATCCTCCCAAAACAAGAATTGCTTAAGTAAGCAAATCGTGACATTAGCATAGTATTTTAAAATTTAGATACGTATGTAGGAATATCATTTAGACATTTAGAGCAATAAAAGTGAAAAAAAAAAGTTAAAAAAGTAAGGTTATATTACAAAGAAACATTTACTTTAAATTACAGTTTTTAGAAATTCTGAAGTTCGAACTTTTGCATTTAATAGAATTTAATTTTACATTATCCCTAAAATCGACGTTTTTTCAGTAAATAAAAATATTGATAGTAGTATAAGTTTAATAACTGTTTTCAATTAAGGGGCTACCCTTAAATGAAATTATATACCCAATTCTATACCATGAATCTTTTATATATGTACTCCATAACGGATCTGCACATTACTTCCCCCGAAAATGGAATATTCACCGAAATCTTTTTCCTATTGAACCCTTGCAAAAATTTTAATTTTATTTATTTTTAACAAACGACTTAGTCACAATGTGAAAACATCCTTATCTGACTCATTTCTTAAATTAGAAGTTCATGACCAAGTACTCAATAAATATTTAGTTATGAAATATTTTTTGAAACACCATGTATAGGATGTCCGAAAATAATAACTGAGTTTACAGCTCTTTCAGCGACACCGTTGTGTCTGGAATTTTTTAATGTTATAGATAGTCTACATGCTGAATATAGAAGAATCCAGTAGTATACCAGATTCTAACGATTGCGTAAAATGTCTTAAATGTTCGTTTTCTAAAACGGTGTATCAAGCAAAATCACTCCTAGCCTCCAAAGAGTGCAGATTGCTCAAAGAGTTCACTGAATTTCTTCTTTAGGTTGCATAAAAAATAGATCGACAGGGAAAAAAACGAAAATCTTACTCACGTGGAAAAAGAAAACCATTGCTATCATTTCAAGCATATTTACTTTGGACTTCTGAGAACTCACTTTACTTATTTACTGCAATAATAATATTTCATACTATGTTGCATATCATTTTCACGTAAACTAACACCGGACTGCATTATTATTTTCCAGAAATTATGTATGAACATATTTTAACGTTACCATTTCTCCTAACCTCGGTAAACCAAAAACCAGTCATACAATTTAAGACAGGAAAAAAAATGTCAGATCATACTTACGAATGTAGCGTTCATGTTGAAGCTGGAAATGGCTGGTTGTGATGCTACCTGATCGCTGTGTTCTTTTTAACGAATCTAGAACCATGGAATTCCCAGTCAAATCGCGAAATAGACTCCCAATTAATTTGATGAAAATAAAATAAAGCAAACAGAAACATTACAAAGCAGGCGCTGGGAAATTAACCCAGATATTGTAATCTAACAATAAGAGTAACAAAAGTGTCATGGAACCTTTCCCTTTCTAACCGTACCGTTAATCGTTTTGTTGGAGCAATGCTCTTTGCTGTTTTCAAATAACATCCGCCCTTCCTGGATGGAAATGCTCTGGCCTTTGTTGGAAAGTAACTCACAGCCACAGAATTGTGAATTTTCCGTTTTACTTCCGTTGTGCTTTTCTGCATTCTGTGGACAATCATCCATCCTTGATGAGTGACCCGAACGAAGGACCTTCCAAAGAACTCCGTCCTAAAGCACACAATTAATCTACAACTGTAGATGCTAATTTTGAACACAATTAATCTACAATTGTAGATGTTAATTTTGACATTTGTAATTTTTTGCCTTAGGCTTGCACTAGTGGCTATAGTAATAAAATGCAATTAAAAATTTTTTTCCGCTATCATAATATGCTTGGTCATATGTGACTACAAATTAAACCCTGGAGCTGATAACAATAGCAAATTTTGAACTAAAATCGTGAAAGGGAAGCTTAAGAAATTGAATGTAGTCATTTCTATACATGCCATTTCTACTATACTATTATGTCTTCTACTGTTTCTTGAAATTATATTAATATTCCAAATAAATTCTTATGTGAGAAATCCACAATTTTGTTTTTAGTCTAAGAATATTATGATACTTGAAGTAGATTTGTTAGGAAGGGGAACGATTCGTTCATGCATGATGCCAAGAGGAAACGGGGGTAAAAAAAATTAACAACGACTTGTCTGGATTTTTTAAATAAATCTGTACCTCCAAGCAACAACATTTTTTTTTCAAATGATGGGAAACAGAACTCAAGATAGAAGAATTAAAAAATATCAGTCTAATTCTCCCTTAGAAACGCATGCCGAAAATTCTTTTCTAAAAACGTAGAATCCCTGGCCGTCTTAAATTGACAACTTCGGGATTAAAGGCATGCAGTAAAACTTCAAAATCGTCCACTGTGCAAAGACTGGAATCGCTGAATACTTAAATTCGATAAAATTGTAACCTGCTAACAAACTAGAACCAATTCTAACACCCATGAGAAGCTTCGTATCTTTTATACCATCGAAAGAGAAGACAAACGAAACACTAATGCATTGTTTGAAAGTCTGTCATACGATCTCGAAAATGCATTTTGTTGCAACTTCCAAAAATTTCTTCAAATTGTCTTGTAGGCTGTTATGAGATATCCTTAATAACTATAGTGTAGATGCACAGCGAAGTTTGAACTTTATTTCAGCTTGAGATGAATAACAGTTCTTACAGATTAGATAAGTAATTAGCTGTAAATGCAACAAGGAAATACAGGGATAATCCGAAATTTTCCGTAATACCCAAGAAATGTCAAACATTTTAGAATTACTCATAAAGTGGTTCCCTAATAATTGCTCATTGGCACTTTAAGGAATGATGAATCCTTCTCACACGGGTATAAAAATTTTGGTCTAAAAATGCTTTCATTGTTAGTGCACACCGAAGTATGTTTTCGTATTTAATAGAGTCCATTAGTTTAGAAATTTCATTACTTTTATTTTCTGTGCTTTTGAGTATTAATACTCAAAAATATTCTAAATACTAAAAAAAATTGGATTAATAAAAACTATTTTGAATTTTGAAAAGTGTTTTTCCTCTGTTAAGTATAATATAGTGCCATAAATTCCTGAACGTGTTTATTTTTCATCCAAATAAATAGGTTTACAAAAATTTGTCATATTAATAGATATTGCATAATTTAGCATTATTATAAATATTTATTATAGCAGATTTAGCTGAACTACTTTTTTAGTCTCTTCTGCAGATGAAGTCACAAAAGTAAGTGGTTAGATATTTTTCTGTATTCCCCATTAAGTAATTTTATCTGGTAAATTACCATTACTTATATACTAAAGGTGAAAGAATAAAGCTTTCCTTGAAAATACAAAAATTTTTAGACATTTAAAAAAATTGGTATACGTAAAAAATTCTTCAAATTGCCACATATGCGAAACTGAAAATGTTATATATGAAATAGTTCATAAATATAAATATTTTCACTATTTTTTAACTATAATTCACTGCATTTGTTATATATAATCACAGATTCAGGTAGCAGTGCTTTTCTCACTGTGATTTCTCACGTATTTTGAGTCATAAATACACGTATTTTAATTTCTCTTTCGAGACCGAATAAAAATGAACTAAACATTCTCGTTCATATAAACACACGTATAAACACGTACATAAATCCACGTATTTTGATTTCTCTACTGAGACCGAATAAAAAATGAACTAAACATTCTCGTTGACATTGAGAGTTGAATAAAAGCTCACCTCAAAATAAAATGAATTAATAAATTTATGGAAAATTTTACATTGCATATATTGAGCAGAAAGAAAGAGTAAACTGAATATACTTAATGGAATTAATAATTTGGTAGAGTTGATTGCAGAATAAAATGCCTTAATTGCATGGTAAACAGTAGATCTTCTTTTGAAGTTTTTCTATGTTGCGTAAAATGCAGATTTAAATTTTTGATATTGATTGTCATATAAATGGCAATTACTGTTTTATTTGCTCTGAAATGAATGGTTAGTAATAAAATTCTGGATGAGATAACCTTTAACATGTCTAGAATTTACAAAGTTTAATTTGGTGCTGATTTCAACGGGTAAATTTCATTTTACTGAATTTTGCGTAAAATAATACCAATGAACATTGCAAATTATTTTCAGAACTTTTTTTTTTAATCCTAAAAGGGCTATTAGTTTTGAAATGTGACTTCATATCGTCAGTCGTAAACTTGTTTCGCTTTTCATTCAAGTCTTGCCATTTGGCAAAATTTAACATATTTACCTTTAAAATCTAATATATTATTGACTAACAAGCCAAGCTATTTAAAAGCATTACACACAGTTCTTAACAATGTTTTTTAATTTTTTTACTTTTTCATGATTTCTGATTGATTTTAATATATAATTACATGATATATTTCTTCATTTTTCAAATATATAGAAGAAATATAACTTTCTGGTGTTAGTATCTTATAAAATGTTTTGCTGTTTCCATTGCCCCATCTGTATTGATAATCTGCACTGATAAATCATATTAAACTTTGAGCCCTTTTGATTGACTGCTAAAATCTGAGGCCTTTCAGATTTTTTTTTTTTAATTGTGTGATCAGAAAGATAGAATTTTAGAAGAGCTTCTTGAGTTACCTTTTGAATGATATAAAGAATTGTTAACATAATGTCACAAATTTTTACAACTAAATATTAAATATATAAATTTAGCCTGCAAAAAAGCATTCTCATGTTACGAAAACATATTTATTTATTCTGCGGCTAGGAATTGATTTAGTTTTTTAAAAATACAATTTATTCCTTTTAACAATTCCCAACAGTCTCATCAAAACACTATAAATTCCTTACATGTTTTAAAGAAAGATGATTCATTTATGTAAAGATTATTAAATGGGTAATTTTATTATTGAATTTTAACACAAATTAACTGAAATTAGAAACTGATTTTGTAAAATAATTTAATTATGACTACTTCAATTTGGGGCTACTGGATGTTTAAAAATGATCGAAAGATTTTCAGATTTAAAAACAAAATAAGTTGTATAAATATTCTCAACATTTCTGATTTTTCCATAGTAACCATAGGAGAAGGATTTGAGACTATCTGTGAAAATAAGTAGGTTTTAGATCATCACAACATCTTCACATACTTTCACTGAAAGTTTCCTTTGTATATACTGGAAGCAGTTGAGAGTATGTATTTAAGAGGTTAAAGGGATATTGTAACTAATATTTAAAATCCTGACAACATCCCATACGCTGTTGGTGGGACTTAGATAGGATGGCCTAAGGATATACTGGGATGTGACATTTAGCACTCAGGAGGATGAGTTTAGGAGGAAAATGGGATATTACGGGATGTCCTGAGGATGCAGTAAGTAGGACTTTAAATCCTAATAATAATCCCATACGCTGTCGATGGGACATAGATAGGATGTTCTTAGGATATAATGGGGTGTGTTTAGGAGGTTAGTGGGATATTCCGGGATGTTCTGAGGATGTAGTAAGTAGGAGTTCATATCCTAATAAGATCCCGTACGCTGTCGATGGGACTTAGGATGTTTTGAGGATGTACTGGGACGTGACATAGCACTCGGGAGGAGGTGTTTAGGAGGTTCGAGGGATATTACGGGATGTCCTGAGGATCTGCGCATATCCCGCGAGCAACATCCTCAGGATATCCTAAAGATGTTTTTATGCTATGTAGGTTATATCAGTACGAAAAATAAGAATCTCTAATTCAGTTTCCGATTTGCTAATAAAACCGATTTTTCCGTTGACGAAATCACTTCCGTTATGTGTAATTTCAAGAAAGGATTTTTCATGAACAATAAAATGGGATCCATAGAAAACATCTCTCAGAATCTCCTTTTAAATTCAAATAATTCTTCAAGTAAATATAAAACTACTTCTAAAGTTTTGATAAAACATGGTACACTGGCTTAGTTTAAAGTGTAGAAATACTGACGGAGGGGGGGAATCAGAGCATCATTTCAGAAAATGGTGATTTCGTGTCCAAAATATGTATGTTAGGAAAATCCTATATATAGTATATATTCCAAATCACGCTTTGTGAAATGGAAATACAAGTTGAATTGTACTATCACTGCATAAGAATTACATTAGCTCTTAAACAAAACATTAAACATATTCCTTATATTACGGTACAAAAAATTCTGAATATTGACTGATTTTCCACTATTTTCCTATGGAAAAATCCTGAATCAAATGAAGATTCATTCAAAGTTATGCTAAACATGTAAAATGTTCGCATCGTGATTTGAAATGTGGCTACTTTTTTCATTAACTGAAATTGTTTTCGTAGGGGATTCTGTTTATAATATACGTAATTCAGCTTT